TTGTAGATTTGATCTAATATGAGATTAGAACACTGCTAGATGATTGAGAACAGTCTCTCTGTGTTGTTCTTATTTTCTTCCCTTTTTTCTCTTATTTTTCTTGTCTATTTCTTCTCTTTTTTTCTGCTGCGAAGATCTCACGTTACTGTCTTTTTATAACCTTTTTCTATCTTAAAACGTAGCCACCCACACTCCCCTAAGCGATAAAAACTCACTTTGGACTGAACATGGGCTGTCAGCCCATGGATGAGCCGAAGTGTACATGCACAATGACATCGGGGCTGTGGAATGCAAAGACTCCACACAAGTTTAGTGTTACACGTCCTGAATACTTTCAGGCTTAAGAGATTTGCTGTGTGGTGGACATGAGATTATTTTCTAATAAAATCAGCAATTTTCTTCCGTCACAATTGTCATTCTGTCAAATTATCTCACTGCAGTTATCAGAGTAATTAATGTTCAAATATTCACTATATTATATGAGCAGAATCAATAAGAAACCCCTCAAGAGTGTCAGAAAGATCCATGACAAGCTACTACAGATAATATAGTACCATGAACAAATTGTTAATATTTTACACTCATTCCACTTGATTTACCTGTATCTCAATCATAAACATATAAGAACAACCAGCCTGACAACTGAACTTAATTGATGCCAAAGTTTTCTGCCTCAGCCATGGTTCCTCAAAATCCTGTCCTTCCTCGGTTCACCATAGCAGCTGAACTGTGCCATAATTGTTCCTTTCTCCTCCAATCCAAGTTGTTCCATGGAGGGAGACGGTAGGCATGACAAAGAAGAAACAAAGGTCACCCACTAACACAGGTCATCGGCATCATCTTCTCAAACACGCCACTACACTTCATAGGCACAACAACTATGTGCAAAGGTGTTTGCTCCACTTATATATAGTTTGCATGATGCTCGAAAGATAGGATAGGAATAAGTTGGTTAGTATTGATCTTAAAACGACTGCACGCGGTGGCCTAAAGATGTGCTCCTCTCCACTCTCATCAATCTTCTTCATTTCCTCTTCTTGCGAGACCACCACCTTCTCCCTCCTCCCATTGCCACCCTCTTCTGTTCCGGGCTGCCTCAGGTGCCCATCGTTCCGGATTCATCGATCTTTCCTATCATCGTCACCTCCATCCCCTCTCCTATCGGAGAGAGGAGTCAGCCTCCGGTTTGTGGAGCTACCGCAGCAAGGGCCACTGTTGATTTGATGCTTCCGGTGAGACCTGGACTATTACATTGGCACCGGTACCACCTGCCAAGGCAGATAAGAACTCGATGCTCTCAGGTTCTACTGATTTCTGGCATCATCCTAATACTAAATCAATTCTGATATCATTTGTTACAGTAAGTCGGATGGGCTAATTGACACATGATCAAAATAGAAATTAATAATAATACACCCATATCATATCCTTATAAATTAATTTTAATCTTATTCACTTTCACTAATCAAAAGTATTATAATCTCCCCTACTTGATCTCATAATAAATCCATTGATGAATTACCTTGTGCGAGATCACATAATGACCATTTATAGGTCGTTTGGTCCGTTAAACTATTTGGAGCTTCCAACTTTAGATACATACCTCAAGATATGTTATATATGAATTTCTCTATGGAGAATTGACTTATCGATATAGATACTTATCCCATTAGAGCAACTTTCCTTTTTTACATCTTTTCCTCTAAGTTTCGGAGACCACTTTGCTGAATAAACCGTGCACCGTTCTATCGTTATGAACGCATTTGTTAGATTGTGACTTTTCACTAATATATCCACTTTTACGCTCCTCAAGTCCTAGCAACATTTTTAGCTTACTATACACTTAAACCTCTTATAAACATATTCTTCTCATATCGAAAAGAAAGCTTTTATATTTCATGATATTGATTTTTGATTGATTTGGGATAGTCAAGAACAGTTCATCATAGGCATACAAGCCTTTATATAAGTGTCAAATTCTTCGAGTTAGCAATTTCTCTCAAATTTATGAGCTATACAGAATTATTTTAATTATCAAGCAACTTATCCCTCTTTATATGGTCTCATCCATTGCTAAGGGTCATTTCTTGCATAGAGTATTATCAAATTTGGTTGTTAATGTCAAGTTATAACTCAAACTTAGTCATCCCAACTTTTGTACATCATATGTTTTTCTCAACTTATTTGTTCTCGTGATGCCTATTATATAAAGTGTTGGTCATTTATCTAAATCTCAATTTTAGATGTCTATTCCTAGAGTGATTGCATTCCTTATGTCTCTATACTCATTTCCCTCGAACAATTATACAAGCTACCCTTAATATAGCTTTATTAGGTCTTTGCACGTT